GAGGGAGAGTGATGGGCAGGGAGAGTCTGCATCTTGCAGGCATCACCGGCCTCCTTGAGGCCATCAAGCAGCAGATCGTGTCGCTTCTAGTGGCGGCTAAGGCCTCAGAGTCCGAAGGCGCGCGCACGCGAGCACATAAAAATCACGAACACTCCAAGGGCTCTCCTCGCTACCGTGCTTCAGAATTACGCAGTCCCGAGGGCCGCAGCAGAAGGAGTTGCTGCACTAGCAATCAATGGGGATGTTTTGACCAATGCTGGCATGCCATTAGAATGTGCTTTTGTAAGCTTTGAGAAAGGAGGTGCCGAACCCGCAAACCTTGGTGACTATGGCTGGAGATACTGTTTAAGTTGATTTGATCTTATGCATTCGTGCATCAGATCGTAACCTTCACGGCTCACCAAGACCAAACTCTCCGGATGCCGAAACCCCTTCTCAAGACTCACCCAGATCCCAGGTGCTCGACCCATCGCTGAAGGCCTCGTTGCCACCAGCTTTGATCTCGACTTTCCAGGCCCGACACAGGGTGCGTCGGGAATAGAAAAGGAAATCTTACGGTAAATTCGTGTCTATGCTGGTAGCAGCATTAACGCTAGCAGCGGTAGCATTGAGACTAGGGCAGCAGCAGCAGAAGTAGCAGGGGAATGGGCACTGGCAGCGATAGGGGTTGTGGTAGTGGCAGTCGTCGCAGTGTGACTAGCAGTAGTCGTCGTAGTCGTAGTCATGGTCGTCGTGATGCAGTCGTAGTCGTAGTTCTAGCAGTGCAGCAACAGCAGAGCCAGAGGTGGCGATGGTGGTGCTCGTCGTATTCAAAGTTTATCTGTTCTCGTCTCAACATCACCGCCACAAACGTCGCGATCAGCATCACAAACGTCATGGGCATCAGTCATCACGAGGCATGTGTCATGCCAATCTTGAGGAGCATGGCGAGCCTCGTAACTATGCTATGGCCTGTCTCATCATCATGCTCAGCACTGGCAAGAGAAGTAATCGCACTAGTGGCTACCTACCAGGCAAGAACAGCGAGCGATTGTCATTCGCAGCCAGGACAAGAAAATGGCCAAGAGCATAGTCCATATGATGGACGCTCGGAGCGGAGCGACCAAGACATGGGACAGGGCTTTGACCTGGGTCTGGCACTTGCCGTTTGGAATTGAGCAGCAGAAGGCGGTTGGGGCATTTGAAAACCCGGGCCTCAGCGATTCTGGCTCACCTTGAGATTTTGATTTGCCCTGGAGCCCAAGTATTGGCAGCTTTCAGCGTCCAAGCTGAAGGGGGGCCTACTCTGCGCTTAGACGCTGTGTTACTTCAGACAATTCCTGTCTGCGCCACTGCAAAGCTCCAAGGAACACATCATGGCAGATCCGGACTTTGTTGAGGTGACGGCCTCGAATCTTCCGAATTGAACCTTGCGACCACAAGACTTGCAGATCTGAAGCCACACAATGATGAGGTGTTGAAGAACTTCATCAACACTTCGATGACAAACGAGGACGTCTATATACTTTGGGAAGGGACTGTGTTTAAAGCTGGCACGATGTCGGGAGTGGGTGACGCTACTGTGCCTTTTGGTCGACATGCCTCCCCTCACCATGTTTCCACGCAAATCGATCGGAGCCTTCCATCCTGTTGCTTGCTGGTTGCCATCGCAGGCACTACTGGGAAGTTTGAAGAAAGTGATGCAGGAGGCACAAAGTTTCTTGTCCCCTGAATCGAATGTATGCCATAGGTAAATGGGGTACAGACATGTACATGAAGCTGCTACAGATATATGTGTGAGTACATGTATACGCAGTTCTACGGTATTGCTGTGCATGCAGCACTGTTACGACGACGACAACGACGACGGCCGCTTCTGCGACTGCTGCTGCCGCTCCTCCTCATCCTCCGTAGTACCTGCTACTGCTACTGTTACTAGTACGACGGTTGATGATTTAAATCCTGCATTACCTGAGGACGTTTAACTATGGGAAATATGGAATAGTCCTTATGACGGGTAATGCAGGATTTCTATCATCAACCGTACCATTACCACTACTACTACTACTACGACGACGACGACTACTACTACTACTACTGCTACTACTGCTACCGCTGCTGCTGCTACTACTACTACTACTGCTGCTACTACTACTACTACTACTACTACTTGTACATCTAATTCTACTACCACTCCTACTACTACTACTACTACCACCACTACTACTACTACTACTACAACTACTACTACTGCTACTACTACTACTATTACTACTACTACTACTACTACTAGTAGTACTACTACTACTACTACTACTACATACTACTACTACTTGTACATCTACTGCTTCTACTACTACTACTACTACTACTACTACTACTACTACTACTACTACTACTACTACTACTACTACTACTACTACTACTACTACTACCTGCTACTGTTCCTACTAGTGCTACGACGACGACTACTACTACTCTGTAGTAGTAGTAGTAGTAGTAGTAGTAGTAGTAGTAGTAGTAGTAGTAGTAGTAGTAGTAGTAGTGGTGGCTATACTAGTTTTGATTGTTTGTTTCTTGCTGCAGCTTCAGTTATGTTCAGTTTCAACAGCACTCGAAGGTAACTCCCTCAGTAGCATGAAAGATTTCAACATTGTCGTCAGTGCCTACTGGCATTATTTGGCTTGCAGGATTCTCGCTCAAATCCTTCGCCACAGGTTTGGGAATTAAGTAACGTGTAGAGTGTAGACTTTGTCGCATTGATTTCGGCTTCGCCCCTTCCCGAATCGTGAAGTCTTCCACCGCCTCCGCATCCTCTCCTTCCAAAGCACACACAAATGCTACCTGCTGCAAACGACCCTGGGTTCAAGATGATTCGAATGCCTATTCCCTCGGGGTGAGTACGAGGACGTACGAGGACTGGGGTAAAGGCCGTACCAAGGCCTGGTTTATTGAGAGTTGGTGCGTAACCACTCCAGGCCATCAGCAAAAACCGCCCAAGCCAGGCACTAGCTGACAGCCATCTCTACAAGTCGGCGATGCATGGTGGGTCATGACATGCTTAGTTTGATGCCCCTCGATCCAGAAAGGTGTGCGGGTTGAGCCTTCGACGAAGTTCCAGTAGTCCAGCTTCTCACTGTGTCAGATCGCTGAATCACTGCATTATCTTGGTGGCAAAAGCCGAACCTCCCCGCGGTGTGACAGCGATAATTTCCCCTTGCAGCGACCATGGTTGTACAGCCCTTCTGTTCTCGTGTTTTGCACCCTCGGATTTTCGAGCCAGGCGTCGCGAGCAGCTTGAACCCGCTTCATAGCGAGACACTGTCCGGCCTCAAGGCGGGACTGGGGTACTTTCCGTGTGCCTGTACGTACCTACACAGACCTTGCAAGGATGTACGTCACAGATCTGAAAGAGGCCAAAGATCAAAGGTAGTGTGTCTCTTCCTCTGACATTAAAAGGCCTCGTCCCAACTACCGGAATCGCTTGGTGGGGGTCCGTTTTGATTGACCCTTTCGTGCAGTCCAGGCTCTTCAATCCTGCGTTAGGTTCCTGTGCAAATCCGTTCGTACGGTGCAGCTTCTGCAGTCCTGGGAGGACTTTCGGAAGGGAACCTGTAGGAAAAGGGGGCAACTGACCCACACATTCCAGTGTGCGGTCACTCTTCAAATCAGAGGGCTTCTGAGCGAGAGAGAGAGAGAGAGACAGAGACCGAGTTGGCGACAATTAAGTTATATTTAGGCTGGCCAAAATTGGTTATGGTCTTCGAAGCAGTTCTGGACATAGGACACAAAGGACTTCCATGCTGATAGCGACACTGCATCGATTGTCCGTTTGAAACGACATTCCATACAATGTTTAGGTACGTAGCCCTTGTTCAAACAAAGGGGTTTCAAAGGGTCTCAACAACACTTCGCGAATGCGGAGTTGTGTATCCTGGGGCCGAGTAAAACGCCGTAGACGACACGTTTGAGAAGACTCAGAAGACATAAGTCTTGCCGGGCCCGGCATGGCTTACTTTCCTGCACATGCGAACACAAGAATTGCACATGACCAGATCTCCCTGACAGAACTCGCTCCTGGGCCGCAGCAGCGACAAGACCGCGGTCGTGGACGCTGAGGAGAAGCACGAGACACTCCAGCAGACTGGCAACGTGAGTACACGTGTGAAGTAATGTAGCACTCCATGTGCCTCATGCCAGGTGTAGATACTCCGATTCCAAAGGTTCCCTACCAGTCTCTAACGCCTGTTCAGCTGTTTTGAAAAGGTTGTGGCGGATTCAAATTTCTCCAGGCTAGCTTGCAGCCTAACGTGTTGGAGAGTCAGAGAAGTAGCCGACGCTGATGCTGTGGTCCGTTTCGACTGCAGCGTTGCCTCAAACAGTTTCATGGCAAAGAGCCTGCAGGTTTGGGGCTCAGGCCGCTTGTCCTCACAAGAGGAGCGCTATTGGATGTAACTCTTATAGTTGTCGCCACAGCCTCAAACCCGTGCAAGAGGCTCCGTTTTTAGCACAGACCGTGGACCCCGCACTGCTGTACAAAGTGGAAGCCCCACGGACTCATTGCGGTGATCGAAGATGGTAGCTGATATTCGATGTTGATGGATTACATGGGCTTTCAAAACATGTGCCGGAGTGGTTGTTTCAAGCTGCTGACGTAGAAACGCTCGGTTTGAGATAGGTTGGACTCCATATTACATACTCCCACAAGATGACAGCTCGTTCAGTGCAGCTCAATGATGGCATTGATGCTTTCTTGCGACAACATCGATTTCGCTGCCCCATGCCGAAAAGCCTCTGAGCTCTTGCGAGGTTTCCTTGCATCCATAGCTTTCGGATTCAAGCATGCTATTGACTCCAGACTCGGCAGCCACAACTCTGAAGTTAATGCTGCTGGTCAGACAAGCTTCTATGTTTTCCTGACTGATCCTGAATGGAAGACCAGTTGCACTCAGCTGCAGCTCAATCCTGCTTCTGGAGAACATAACTTCAAGCTTAGACATCGCACCTGTCGCAACCGCCAGGCATGCTGCTGCGGATGTGAGGCTCGTCTAGGGCCTCCAGTGAGGCGTTGGATGGAGTAACGAGCATGTGCAGGATCGTCTATCGGCTTAAATGGTTCGGGCATGATTTAGGGAAGCCGCATGCTGCCTGTAGGAGAAGCACACGAAGTGCCGTCGGCGGTTGAAACTACAGAGATCTTGACAGCTTCCCTCAGCAACTACACAGAAGCCTCGATGGAGAATCTTGCAACCTGAGGCTAAAGTTAAGGATGGCACAGCAGCAAGTGGGCTAAGCATCGTTCTTCTTAATTTCATTATGCCGTCGCAAGTCCGTCGCAGCTACACGAGGAGAAGTCGGATATGCAGAGAAAGTCTCCCTATGTAGTGGATCGGTTGCATAGATTCAACACTTCAGCAGCAGAGCAAGTTAGCTGCAAGAACATCACGGCCATGGGCCCCGCTTGCGAGGTGACAGTGTGCCAAAGACCAGCTCCAGCCATGCATATGCTCGTTTCTCTCCCATCAGTCTCACCTTCGTGCCAATCCCATGCCGACGCCACGTGCGCTTCTGCCTGGGTCTTGGAATGTGTTTGCCACTGCTGAGGGTTCCGACAATTTGCGCATTTGTGGCGTGTTGCTCGCAAGATCGATGAGTTATATACAGGTTTCGCGTTGACGGCGATTCACTCCAGGTGTCGCAACACCGACTTTCTCTCCAGTGCCAAGAAAACCCAGTTGAGTGTGTCATCACCTTTCAAGTAAGAGAGGATCTGTTTGCGACTTCTGCGTAGCCAGTCCTTAGAGACTGGAGGCTCGGTTCATGAACAAACGCGTTGGATCCCGAATGCTTTGTTTCGGAATGGGAGGCACCCGCCCTTCGAGTCCCCATGACGCTAGACCTGTCCAGCTGAGGAGCCGCGCAGCCTTTGTGAACTGACGCGCCCGAGAAGCTCTGATGCAGGGGTCTTCTCCTGGGGACGACTCGCAAGCTTAGGATCGGGCCCTAAAGCACACTTTCAGGGGTTAAGTCTTCAGGTATAGGCCTGTCAACGGCTATTGAAAGGGAGCATACAGGTCAGTGGTCCCCTTTACGCTGCTGCTGCTGCTGCTGCTGCAAACAGCGTTTCGGGTCCCTGGCCAACCAGATTTGACTATCAATTCGCAAGAAGCGTTTGTTTTCATCGGCTTTGCCAGGGACCACGACGACAATCACGTGTTCTCAAGTTGCCGAAGCTTTCATAGCTTTGCATGCCGCAGGCCCCAAGTCCTAACTACCTTGGCAGACAAAGTGCATACCGGACATTCTTCGTTGGGGAAACATGGTCCGACAACTATGAACACTGCTAGATAGAGCGCAGCTGGCCTCTACAAGTACGCCTCTGGCCAACGTGAGAATCACCAGACATGGAGTTGCCAGGCCAGGGCCTTCATCGGATCAGCTTAATCCGGGCAGTGACTGCCAAATTTGACTTCCAATCCATGCGAGTTGGAAGACCGTTCTCGTGCTGCAGAGTTTCCGAGTTTCGAGATGTGACTCATTGATTTAACCTCCTGGCTCCTCGCGAGCCGTTTCTTGCTAAGGTTTCAGTTTTCCGCATGCATGATCGTTGGATTCTTTGGACTTGGTGAAGCCATCTGCCCGCCCCAGCCGTCATTCGTTGGGCCTTCGTGTTCTCTACAGTCTTCCATGTCTCTGCAGCGTGTTGCACCACAGACCTGTGCCGAAGCCGAAGTCCGACGTCACCGAGATTTGGTTCAGCCGACTCACTCCAACGATCAGGCAAATGCTGTCTGCGGTCATGTGCAATGCTTCGTGAGCGCAAGCTGCATAGGCTGGGCAGACGTGGTCATAAAACTTTGGGCACGACAGCTTTGTATTGTCACATTGCGTCAAATCGAGAACGTTCGCGGGCTCGTTCATGGGGTTTGTTGCGGGTTTTGCAGGCGGGCATCTGCATGCACTTTGAGCATGACCTTCCGGAGACTCTTGGCTCCAAGCCACGTGCAGGCAAGCTAAACTAGGAGACATAAGCCGGTGAGGTTCCTGCAAACCCCCAACGCACAAGGCAACAGAAGTTCAGATGGCTTGGTGTTGGCCAGCGGGTCCTGTACGACGTTCGAGAATCAGAAAGAGGATGAATGGGATGGAAGCGAAATCACGGCCGGACGTTTAGTGATGGTAGTGATGGAGATGGATTTGGCGGCGAGCCTGTCCGAATTGACCAGTGCCGCCTGCGCCCTATCACTGTTCAGCATGACTTGATTGAGACTCACATGTCGTGGATACATCTTGCCAGGCCTCTATGCGTGGCAAACAAAGAATACTGACGTCACCTGACGTCTTCCTGCAGTATCTGTTTAGGACTGTGCCGCCTCTCTGAAGTTTTTAGAGCTTTGAAGTCCAGGTGACGTTGCTTGCCGAGCGCGCGTCACTGGAAAATGTCAGGACGGCCTTCACGATGCATGTCCGCTTAACAGAAGGAAGGAAGGAACTAGACGCATAGACTGCATGGTCATACAGGATCATCTGAACATACATATATGATATATGTGTTTCGCCACATAAATTTGTGCAAGCATGTGCTTACGCAGCTGTGGAGGAGAATGTAGAGACTGTTTAAAAGCATTCGCCCAGGAGAGATCTGAGGCGATCAGAGACTCCAACCTCCGCGTCGTGTGCTGAGACCGCGGGTCACGATCAGTGATGGCATAGTGGTATGTACTGGTTTACTCGTATGTCGGTATGTGTACACATGTATGTGGACTCAGTAGCAGCAGCAGCGGCAGGAGTGGTAGCGGTGGTGGTGGGAAGTAGTCGTAACAGTAGCAGCGGCAAAAGAACGTGCTAATACGAGTGCTAGACTAGAAGGAGCAGGAGAGCAGGATTTGCATCAATGGCAGTACAGGCAGCTTTGTAACCGTGAGCGTGCTTCTGGTATGAACCGTCTGTACGATTTTTTGCAACAGAACAGATCAAAGTCGCCCTGTTCCTTTGCTTGGCGTTGGAAGGCCTCAAAGCCTTCCAAAAGCGCTTCAAGGATCCGAGCTTCAGGCCGAAGACGGAGGGTTTGGGCTTTTCGAACTGGGCTGGGCTGCTCAGAGTTGCTAGGACCTGCTAGGATTCCTCTTCGTTTTGGGGGGCTCTTGTATGCAAGCCAACAGCCAGGACATTGGGGTATTTGTGCTACGGGATTTATGCTGCCTGGTTTCGGTTGTCCTGTGAAGGAGTCATATGACTCGATTCTCGGGCGGTGTTGAGTGCCCGTGATGCTAGCTGCTAGTGGAAGTGTTGTGCTTTCTGTCTGGTGACGAAAGAACCAGCTTCATACCCACGAAGCGGGTGAGTCGTGTGCACGAACGCACGACTCAGCGGCAAGCGCCAACAACTTCGTTCGGCTGCAACGTCGCCACCAGGCCTTACGTCCCGTGCGCGAAACTTCTGCGCGCACACCAGTGACAACGGATGGAATGCTCTTGAGACTTGGCACGAAGCAAGAGATGGAGATGACAATCTTGTCCTACGTCCGCCTTCTCTGCCGGCAAGTGGGCCGAGGGTTTGTGCAAATGTCCCAGGCTGTGGCTCGAACAAGACACCGAAAGTTGCAGTGCGTAAAGATCGCAGCGCAGAGGAACTTCACCGAGCCCCGCAGGCCACGGTCGAGTCCCAGCTGCTCAGCTTCGGAAGCTTCCTTGAGACGCAGATCGATCAAGGGACTCGCGCTCAGACTTCGGAACTGTGCCAGACATATAGGGCCTACGCTGAGATTCTGGAGGTTGGGAGCTGGTTTGGCGAAACGCTCTGCAGGGCTGGAAGTGCTCATCTTTGCTCTAGCTGCTCCCCCGAAGTCTGTTACAGGCACGACCGGATACAGGTACGACCGGAACCCGAAGGTCTTAAATAAGCACGCCAGAGTCCTGACATTGGAAGGTTGGGGCGGAACGCCCGCCCCAAGATACTGAGAAAATCTCTCAGGAAAGCAGCGACCTCCGAGTTTTTCACAGGCTCGCAATCCCCATCTGCACTGGCTTTGACTGATGCGTGTGTTGTAGTTCAAAGAGGGATAATGTTGGATCCAGATTAACACCCCCCCCCCCCCCGCTGTCAAGGTTAGCCCGCTTGAACTTGTTCAGGGGTTCAAGTTTTTCCCGCCCCCCCCCGATTATGTGGGGATGGGGTTAATTATTAAGTATAGTAGTAAGCAGATAGAGAGTACTTAGTAAAGTATTGCAGTCGTACAATAGGAGTACAGTAGTATAGTAGTAGTACAGTAGTACAGTAGTAGTACAGTAGTATAGTAGTATTACAGTAGTAAAGTAGTAGTACAGTAGTACAGTAGTACAGCTGTAGTACAGTAGTATAGTAGTATTACAGTAGTATAATAGTAGAACAGTAGTATAGTAGTAGTTAAGTCATAAGCCGCTAAATCCCCTAAATCCTTATTTCGGGGATTTTCGGGGATGGCCCCGTCTAATCGGGGGGGGTTTAGGCGAGCTCCGGTACTATAGGGGTGGGGTCTAATGGACTTCTTCATTAAGCCCATGACATGCCCGGGACGGCCCCGTCTAATCTGGGGGGGTATCTTAATCTGGAAACGCCATTAGCTGTTGTGCTTTTGTCGGGGCATCGATGAGATTGAGCTCTGTCACCTAGTTGTGGAGCTCGCCGAGGGTATCAGCTCGTTTCCATGATGTTGGGCGGACTTCATTTGAGAATGTACACTGTAAGGGGCATCCGTGACGTGCAATGACGCTTGCTGGGCACGTTCTGTTCCCGAGGACTTTTGCATGACTTACGGGGCTGAAGTCTTCAAGTGCCCCGACACAACCCCCGAACTCCATTTCAATGTCGGGGCGGTATTGAGACACGAGGCTGCAGCAAGATCACATAGAGACCTGCAGTCGAAGCTTTCACAAGTCTTGCCACGTATCAAAGTATCCAAGCGTGCCTTGCTGCCTCATGCCGCGATGCGCCATGGGGTTGGCCTGTTTGCAGCCGGCCCCGCCCTAAGTCAAGTTGGCAAGCGAAGCTTCGGAGTGAATC